CGCCGCTCCAGCTGCTAATAAAGGAGATGGGCGCGGGCCCCTAACTAGACCCAGCGAAGCGTGCAGCCAGCGAGGGCCCCTGCAGCCGCCTGACAGTGGGCTGTGATGCCTCCTGCATCTTATTATTCAAAAGGGAGCCCACCTCCGACAGCTGACGGATGAGCTCGGCCGAGGCGAGAGTAACTTGTTGCTTGGCCGGTATGAGACGGTGTCAGCTTTTCCCACAGCATCGTGGCTGGGCTTGCCTCTAATTACGTTAACCCTCCTCAAGTTGCTGCGTCCAGAGGGGGGTCCGGGAGCCCGAGACACAGAGCCGGTTGGGAGGTTCGCAGCTGCACAGAAGCAGGTACGGTGTTCTCCACCAGTGACCTGAACTCCGAAAACAAAATAAGCACGTCCTGTTATGCCCAGCCAGGTTATGACTCTGAAGAGGCGGCGCTGGCTTTGTCTTGTGCAGTTTCCATCTCTGTTGCCTGTAACAGTGGCCTGCTTTAAGGTTTGCTGTGGACGTTAAGCATGGTTTCTTGGGTCTTTGTTAAGAAAAGAAAAGCCTGGCATCAGCCACAAAGCTGTTGTTTGGGCTCCCCGCCCCCTCCCGCCCCTGCCCGTGAACCCGAATCATTATGTGCTATTAGGCTTCCCAGTTCTGTTAGGCCTGTGAAGCACTTGTGAATCTGTTTGAAGTTTGTTTGCTATTAAGGCTGACTCCGGATGGTTTGGCACTAAAACAAACCAGTGTGGGTGGGGGAAGGTGATCCCATCCCTCCTCCCTCCCCTCCCCCTCCCCCAAGCAGGGATGGACAGATGAGTTTGAAGTGACAGAAAGGAAGATGCTCACATGGATGGAGCTAGACGCTGTCATACTTGGTGAAGTCAGACAGAGAAAGACTAATTATCGTATGATGTCACTTATATGTGGAATCTAAAAAAATGATGCAAATGAGCTTATAAAACAGAAAGAGACTCACAGACATAGAAAACAAACTTATGATTACCGAAGGGAAAGTGTGTGTTGGGGGGGGGAAATTAGGAGTTTGGGATCAGCAGATTCAAACCACTGTATATAAAATAGATAAACAGCAAGGTCCTACTGTACAGCACGGGGAAGTACATTCAACATTTTGTGATAACCTGTAATGAAGAAGAATATATATATGTAGAACTGAATCACTATGCTGTACACCAGAAACTAACACAACATTGTAAACGAACTATACTTCAATTAAAAAAAAAAAAAACGAAAATGCTCACGAATAGCCTCTGGTCCTTTTTGTGTATCCCAACTTTCGGACGTCAGTATAAGACTCCTTTTCCCCAGGGGGAGCGTGTCCAGCCCCCATCCTGCGTTTTCCGGCGTGCTCCAGTTAGCAGCCGTCATTAGCATTCCCCCGTGCCTCCTCTGTCTCCACTGACACGCTTAAATAGAGACATTGCAAGGGGCTGACAGATCTCCGGGGGCTGAAAGGCTTCAGATGAGAGGGCCCAGGGAACTTGGCTGACCTTTCTTGACATGATTCCCCTAGGTCTGTCTTCTGCGTGTGGCGACCAGGGAGCACAGAACTTGAGTGGGTTGTTTTTCAGAGGACTACCACTCAGAGGACCGCGGGCTCAGTCAGGCTGTTACTGAGTGAACAAAGTGGGTTCTTAGGTTGTTGGTGGAAGCAGCAGCCTCTTCTCTCCCGTAGAAATGGGCATCTGCGTGTTAACTTCAAGGGTGATGCATTAAACCCTGTTGACAACATGGCTGTGCTTCTGGGTTATTGGGGCGCACCTTGAACCTGGTGGGAGGGGACTTGTAATGCAGCCCAGGAAAGAAGAGAGTCTTCTTCCTCTTTCTGTCCCGTGGAAGTCATTCCTGGGCGACTCTGGAATAGCTGAGGCTTGTCTGTGGGGTCCTTCCTAGACCTTTCCCCTGGTCCGCGTTGCTCTCACATTGACCCAGAGCCCAGAAAATACAACGTGCTGATAAATACTCTGTGCTCTTCCCACTCTTCTTCCCCAGAGAAAAAAGATACCGCACTCCTGGGATCCCCCTCGGGGCCAGTTACAAAGGAAGCAGTCCACTTGAGTTAATTCATGGTTATAACGTGTGAATGACAGGGAGTCCTGCAAGCTTGTTCAGCGGACCTAAGTCTACACCCATTAGAAACGGAGGCTGTGTTTTTCAGTAGAACAACCAATTTGGGGGGATGAGGAGGAAAGACATTTAGAGCAGAACAGCCTCGCACAGGGAAATCCCCTTTGCTTAGGCATTGGTTCACATCCTTACGTAATTGGTGCTTTAGTGGCTTTTTTTTTTTCTTATTCATTTTGAAGACATATGTTTCCAAAGGTCTCATTTCTTATTTTTTTTGTAGTTGATCTCATGCTGCATCAGTGGGCAGGGCTGTGAGGCTGGAAGATGATAGTGTGTCAGTATAGGTTGTTTATTAGGTGAATGTTTTAGGAGAGAACCTCTAGTGCCTTCCCGCTCCCCCCAGCTTTTTAGTGAGTTGCTGCACCTTGGTTACTGTCGCCTGGTGCGTCAGCCTTCCCTCGGTGACCATGCTTCCCAAGTACAGTGGGCAATATACACACTGTGCATTTAAAAAAATGATGCTTTCTATCATACTCCTTTTTTGGAAAAGAGGAAATTGGAGAAAAAAGTAATGAGAGAATGATACGGAAGAGAGGAGTGAGAGTATAGCGGACGAGGAAACAGGAATTATAAAGAATTTTAAACAAGCGATCAGTTTGATTCTTGGGAAGCTAACCTCCACCCCCAGCCCAAGATAAAAACAAAATATATTAATGCCCACACCCACGTAAAATACTCAGCTGAACAGAGTCTGTGCTCAAGTCTTGGATTTTCATTTGCCCCAAGCAGTTTTCTGACTCATGGTTTAGAGCATAAAGCCCATTCATTTCCCAAATGATTGAACATCTGACTAATGATGTTGAGCCATTAAGATGGAGAAATTATGACAATATTGATAGTCTTGGAGAGAAATGTGTCTGCGTATTTTTGTACTTAACCCCAGCAGATTCTAAGTAGCTTTGGAAAGATCATGATGGATTACTCGCTCTTAATATTGAGTAATATCTGTTTTCTTTAAAAGCATCTTATGAAATTGTAACCCACTTTATATTGGTCTTTTCTGTCTCCATTATTCTGAATAGTTGCAAGTTCATATAGACACAACTCAGATACTGTAGGTTCAATTCCAAACTGCCATGCTAAAGCGAATATCACAGTAAAGCAGGTGACATGGATTTGTTGGTTTCTCAGTGCACATGAAAGTTATGTTTACACTATGCTGAAGTCCATTAAGTGTGCGATAGCATTATGTCTGAAAAAACAATATATAGGTACCTTAATTTAAAAATCCCTTATTGCAAAAAATTGCTGACCATCATCTGAGCCCTCAGTGAATTGTAACACCAAAGATTACTGATCATTTTAATGTTTATAATAATAATAGTAATAATAATAATGATGATGATGATGCTTGAAATATTACAAGAATTAGCAAAATGTGACACAGAGACATGAAGTGAGCAAATGCTGTCGGAAGTACAGCACGGATAGACTTGCTGGATGCAGGGTGGCCACAAACTGTCACTTTACAAAAAACACAGTATCTGTGAAGCACAGTAAAGCAAAAGCATGATAAAACAAGGTCTGCCTGTATAACCAAAAGGATTCAGATTCAAAGTATCAGTTCTTTTGTTTTAAAAAGAAATGCTACATCATCTTCCTACTAAACGTTTTCATTTCTAAAGCTCAGATCAGCTAGGAGGTGATGTGTTTTGTGCTATACTTGCATCCTAGAATGCATTTTCCTTGTTCTGGCCTTATCAGTTGTGACAAAATTGGCAGTAGAGCCTTAGAACAGGATAGACAGGGGACTTTGGTTGTGTCCTGGGAAGAATAATTGCTGGACGTCTTTGTCCATAAAACTTTGGACTGTAGACCAGGAGCCTGAAATTGAATTTCCTCAGTAGGACTTTTAGGGAAAGGGTTTTGTTGAGTCTCCTGCCAAGTAAACCACATACAACTCTGCTGCGTTAACATCTCTGTCCGTCTCTTTCATAGGCAAACATGTTACAGGAAGCCGTTTCACACACTGCCTTTGCTATTTTGAAATATACCAAACAGAAAAAAATAGAATCGACTGATCCACTGACACCTTCACTAATTTCATCCTTGATTGATATAGATTGATAGGTAATCGGATAGCTTCAGCAGACGCTGTAGAAAGAATCAGAGGTCTGGAGTCAGAAAGAAGCCTTAGACTCACATTCCCCCTCTGACATTTTCTGATCTTAAGCGTGTTACTTAATTTCCCCAAGTTTGCATTTCTTTACTTATAAAGTGATGTTAATTATTGACCTTAGGGTTGGCTGGAGAATCAAAGGAGGAAATGCTTTTTACAGGTGATTGGTAACTGATAAGGGCTACACAAGTGTGCATTTCTACCATTACCACGTTAATGAGATCCATTTAGTGCTGGTTCTGAGATGTGCTTCCGGTACCGGGTGAGTGAGGCAGTACTAATTTTACTTGTGCAATGTCCTTACCTTTCTTCACTCCTGTTTTACTTTGATGAAGAATGATGTTGATTGGATCAGGTTTAGATCAGATTGGACAAGTGATGACAACACATTGTCAAGGTAGAATTTTGGGAGGTTCTGATGCTAATGGTTCTCTCAGCCTTGGACGGGTCATCTTTGTGTCTAGTAAGCAAATACCTAGAAAAATGAAGCAAATGCTACATTTGCAAGAATTCCTTCCAGATTTACTTCCTTCCTCCCTCCCTCCCTAATTTCTTGGGCCAGTGTGCAATCACTGACGTGGCTTGTATACCACTGATGACTTGGGGTGCATGTTTTTAAAACAAATCACATGACTCAGAAGATCCTTAAGGTTGTGCTGTGGTTACTGGGCGGGACTGACTTCTTAGATTTGATTTGTGTTGTTTGGATGACCTTCACGTTTTTCCCCTACTCCTTCCTTTTAGGAAACTTGGATTTAACTGGTCAGAAGCAGATATTCAAAGCAGAGAACAATCCTTGGGTTACCCCCATCGCTGACCAGTTCCAGCTTGGCGTGTCTCATGTTTTTGAATATATCCGTTCTGAGACGTACAAATAGTAAGTAGACTACGATCTTCTAAAATTGCAGACTGGTTTTATAGTATTTGTAATTATGCCGCTAAAAAAAAAATCACCAACTATCTGTGACCTTGTCATTGGTGGCATTCAGCTCAGAGCACTTTTAACTTTTTAAATTAATAACCACATGTAGTAACTGCTTCTGTTACTTATAGATTGTTTTTAATTGACATTTTCAAAGGGAATCTATACCAATTTTGTTTAGAAAATTTATAAGGTCTTAAATTGGTTGACTATGCGTGGTGCTAAGGAAACTCACCAGACACATGAAGATCAGAACATACTTTTTTCTCCTTTGAAGGCAAGGAATAACACAAGTTACAAACAAAATTGTTAAGCAGTTTATTTATAAAATCAGTAGAGAATACTAAGACAGGCATCATTCTATTCTTTAGAAGCTTTTTGCTCCAGTGAGATAATAATCTCTCTCAGAGAAGAGATAAGGCAGATAAAGAGGAGGAAGAATCAGGTAGCTTAAGTCACTGCATCAAAACCTTTCCAGTCCTCACGTCTGCTCAAGGGCATCTGCGGGCAGCCAGCCCTAAAACCTAGCCCTTCCCACGACTTTCTTCCTCAGTGTGTCTGGGTTGAAAGGAAACCTACCACCCCCATCTGCTCAGTTGTTGCTGTATCTTCTGTCATTACTTTCCCCCTCGCCCTACCCCTGACCGCCAAATTGAAGTGATCATTTATCTCAAAGCTTCATGACCCCCTCATGCTGAAATCTAGTCAACTCTAGTTTGAAGTGAATGCAAAAGATGTGCAAAAAAAAAAAAATCTGTAGTCAGCTTTAATCTGTTTTTGTGTCTGATACCAACTTTTGGGAATTTAACATGCCAGCTGTTAGAGAAGAGGTGGCTCATGTTCAGTTTGGAGTCCCCCTTCTCTTTTGATTATCAGAAATATCGCCCCCCAGCTCAGCACACCTCTCTCTGAATCTGAGTTGGGTCAGAGGGGCAGTATTACATCTGGCAGGGCAGAGTCCTTGCCCGGGAATGGCCAGCTGTGGTTCTGATAACACACTCCCCATAAGCCGTGCTCCCGGCCACACACCTGGGACTTCTTATGGTCATGTTTCCACTTGACAGAATCACAGAGAAGATGAGCTGGGAAAGAATAATGGTCCTCAAGCAAATATAGACTAAAATTGCCCAAATGATAGCATATCCTTGTATATGAGTGCAGCTTAAAGCATGGTTTAGATTTCAAGAGAATATTGTGACATTTATAATGTCTTCAGATGTACCTTAATAGTAAAATGAGAGATGTATAGAATGTGTGTTCATTGTTTCAGGAACCACATAGACGTGTGCAATTATTATAGATACATATTTTTTTAGGAATTTGAACACAGCTCAGCCTTGAAAATTCGTTTAGTTAATTATGAAAAGGTGTGAAAATATAATTGCAAATTATTAATTTATTGTTCATTTGGTTTCTCTTAAACTGTTAATTGTTACTAGCATCAGTTTTAGGTGAGGCTCTGATGTTTAGTTGGTAAATAGAAGGCTTCATAGACCTTGGTTTGTTGGGTGTGCTTTTAGCAAACCATTGTACGTGGTAACTGCAGAAAAATAAAAAAGTTCCTGTCAATCTAGAATTGGGGAAAATGCTCTGTTGTTTATTCTGTGTAACACTTTTTTAATTTACCATACATTCATTTGGAATTTACAGAGAATTAGAATACATTGTGTATGCAAGTGCTTCTAATTTTAATTTCCTTTTGAAAGATCACATTGTGAATGTATGGATTTTGTATTACCTCAGCGTCATTATTAGGCAGTTAATCACCTCTATATGCCATTCCAAACCACTTCCGTTTATTTGAGCATTGTTAGGACGAATGAGAAGTGTTGCTTGATTGAGTTAATTGGTACCTTATTTGAAAGGGATTCTGTGACACAACATTTTATTTGAGGTATGTATTCTTACCTGTTTTATTAGCATCTTACATTTGAGGATCAGAGTAGTCTAAGCAGTTTGCCTACTAGTTTATTTTTTATGTGTTTGCTTTCCTCATGGAGAATTATATTATCTTTTGTCCAGTTAAGTCAATGTTAAAAAGCGTAAGTAAGCATAGGAGAGCCATTGTCCCCTTTTGGGGGGACCAGTTAGTACCCTGTTGGCTGCTTTTAGAGGCATATATGTGAGCCTCTGCTGGGCGAATGCACTTGACATTGAACTCCTCAAGGGCAGGGACCTCCCTTAGAGTGAATTTCTAGGGTTCTCCCCTCCCCTCCTCTGGAAAGAGAACTTACCTGCTTCCTGTGTTACAGCTTTCTGTCCTCCCGTTCTCCTATACAACATTCCTTTATCAAACGCCCTAGCCTGAAACATGGACTGTTAACTAAATAAGACCCTACCTCAAGCTCTTAGTCTTTAAAAAATATACTCATGCAACAATGCCACCACTATGTTACACAGATTTTTTTTAAATTTAAGGTTCTCTTTTATATGAATAGACGTATGTTGGTATATCCTCATGTAACTAGAATCTAACTTAATTCTTTAATTTAAGTGGCACTTCATAATTAGCAGACTTTTAGTAGCCTTCTCAACTCTCTTGAAAAAAAAATAATCTAATTAGCAGGTACTTGGCTACTTTTTTAAAGCTGTCCAGGTAACAGCCTTTAAGGAGGCAGTTCATTTGCTACACTCGTATTTTTTTAAACAAAGGAAGTGTCTTATTCGGTACCTTTGTCTTAGATCCTTTATTCTAAAAGCTGTAGTTTCTAATCTTCACTATCTTGTCTCTTTTCGTATGAGTCACATACACCCTCTCCAATTAAAAAATCTTTAATTGATCTTTAGACTGTCATAAAAGCATCCTTTAATGTTTGGTTATGGCATTTGAAATACCAATGAGTCTGCTTTCTTTTCTTCTTATTTTCTTCTTCCTAACCAATCGACCCATTACCTAAATGAGAGCATTAAAACTCACCAGCACGTTTCATTTTCCTTCACGTCCACTGTCAACGTTCAAGGTGACCTTCCTATTCTAAGCTCATCCTCCGAGGGCCTCCTGAGTCTAGGGCAGGGATGGGCAGGGAAGATGGATGATCTGATTTCCAGACTCAAAGGGACTCCATGTTGAGGCATGGGTGTTTGAAACACAACCGTGAAGTCGGTATTTAGGAAGAATTAAAATACTTGGCAATGATTTAACTTGATAAGTGTGGGCATTTAAGCAGGGGAGGGATGTGGGCAGCTGTGCTGGGAGGAGGCTGAGGTGTAATTCTTCAAGAGTCTGTTCTTCTGAGTACATTTGGAGCGTTCATCATGTCCTCGTCATTTCTGGGATGGAGATGGCTCTTTGTTCATCTGTTGTCCTTTCAGGACAGGGAACATGTTGGCTGCTGTGGCTGCATTGACCGGTCATTGTCAGTTACTCCCTCTGTTAAAATGCTTCGCTGGGTCTGGATGTAGAGGATCTAACCCTACAAACACGTTAGCGTTTTCAGACGGTTGCTGAGCCACTTCTGCTTCTGTGAAGCAGAATTAGGGTAGGCCAGTCACCACTGCTTCTTAAGTTTCTGGAAGGCAGGCTCCCCCCCCCCGCCCCCCTCCAGCTTCCCCAGGAGGGGAAGTCAGATTGGAGTCAGGATCCTTGACAAGATTCTTTGTGAAAGGGAGTAAGTCACACTTTTCACATTTCCATCAAGGAGGGTGGATAGGAACCGCAAGCCATTTTAAAAGCTGACAAGTTAACTCTTCACAAAAGAAGAGGTTTGACAAATGTTAAGCTGAAAACGTGTTGGTTGAAAGTGGCGTCTGGAAAACAGGCCGCGTCGTGAAGGCTGCAATTTGTAAAGCCTCATTTCCAGGCTGGCGTTACTCGAAGGGTGCGTCTGCGTCACCCTTCCTTCCTGGGACTGTCTTTTATCTGCAGGGAACGCTTGCCACACTCAACTCGCTCTTCTATTTTGTTTCTTAGTCTTAAACGAAGATGCTTCATTCATAACTATTATTAACATTACCTAACGGAAACGTTTTAGCAGAGCAGTGTTTGGTGAGTGGTGAGCATTGATGAGGAAAATGCAGGCAATTTCTTTTCACTGGAAATCTGGCAAAAATAAATCACCCTGTTTGGTTTGTAAGGAGAAATGAATACTTGGATCTGCTGCTTACTGTGTCTCAAAATGTTTTACTCGTAGAATTAAAACGAAGTAATGTTTTCTTTTTTCTGCACTGTGGGCAAACCTGTTTAAAGCCGTTGTGGGTATAAATGGGTTTTATTAAACAACTACTATGTTCTCAAATAGCTGCAAACTCAGTGCCCTAGAAGAGCCTTAAATCACAGCTATATCTGGTCTACCAAAAGGCTGAAGAATTTCAAACTTAATAGCTGATCCCAGCCATTTTAAGACAGCCCTTTGCAGAAGGAAATTCTAACAAGCCTCTCTAAAACTTACTGTTTTTCTGGTGGGGTAGAAACGGTTCCACAGAACTAGCAGATGGTTTTAGAAATATCACAGAAGGCTGGAGGAGAGGGTTAATCTGCCAGGACCTTGCGAGCAGTCAGTGAATTTTCACACGGTGACAATGCATATGCAAGATTACAAAGATGTCTTTCACGATGATGTCTGAAAGTAGCTCAAAGTAAGCCAGAGAAACCCAGTATTTCCTTATAGTAGAGATGAAAACGGAGAACCGTTTTTTTCCCCCCTAAAGCTTTTGACAGAAAGATTGTTTTTATTTTTGAAAGTTGACTATGTGTTGTGTTCCTGGTAATTTGTTTCCTTTATGGATGCTACATATGTATATTGCAGTTCTTTTTTTAAGTTAATAAATGTAGTATCACATTTCCTTCATAATATGAAATAGGATTCAGACTTTTGACATTTCTGGACCCGAGCGCATGCAAATGCAGCTCATTTCATGAACCTTGCTAAGAAAAACCAAAGAGAAAAGGGAAACCTATAAACTATGTTGGGTTCGGGGCAGTACTGTGTCATACCCCTTATTCTGTGTTCACTTTA